CTGTAAGTGATTAGCGCTTTTAGATAAGGTAAGTTGTTCCTGTACTTCATGAGTCTTGTTTGCCATAAGTTAATATACGACTAAATGGTGATTTAGTTCTCACCAAACCTCTGCCGTACATCCACTATTGTGATATTCTTTTCAAAACGGGAACAATGAAAATCTTAAAGTTGACCTTGAGCGTACCTGGCTTTAAGCCTCTTGTTCCTTGCACCTGATTATCATAGAAGAAACGATCACCTCGCTTTAGAGCCGCAAATTGCTCAGCTATAATATAACCTCCGGTAGGACCTATCTGAAAAAAGTGTTCTTCAAACACCGGAGAAGATGTGGAAAATATTCTAGAAAGTATTTTAGGTTTGACTTCAAGATAGCATCCATTGTTGCAAAGCTAAGTGGGAATCAAAATGTTCACGAAATCCTAACTGTTAGGGCCTTAACCATTTCAGCTGTTTTTGATTGATTAAGTGCTGATAATCATCACATGAGAATTAACTTATTTAACCCACCGCAGCGCCTAATGTAGGCTTTTCCAGCATGATACCAGAGTAGAGATCAATATCGTTAACATCAGCATAAACTTTCTTCAGAGCATCAACGTTAATTGCATCCATCTCGCTCCTCAGATCATCAAAGCTATTTGCTTTTTTAAGTCCAACCAGTGTTCTGGAGTCAGTATGTTTACGGTATTTGGTTTTTATTAAAAACGCAAAAGATCTACCTGTATTCATTGTACGGAAACAGTCCAATATCCCTACCACGCATGATATTTACAGCAACAAGATCAACACCTGAGGCTGGTTGGCCTCGAATTTCAAAGAGTTGGTTTCGAATTGGGAAGGAGAATTCATTGTCAGACTTCATCACAGGATACTGCATCATTCCTAAAATGAAATTTTTGCGGGTTTCATAATTTCATCAGAAGTGACCAGCTTTTCAAGCGTTGCTAAGGATGATAGTGAAATTTTTACACAGACCTTCTATAAACGAAGCCATTCCTCCTTGATTGGGGGCATAGTGTGAATCAACATAGAAAATATTGCTTCCAATATCGACAGACGTTCCGGCTGTGGTATTTTTATTGGTAACTCTAGAAATGCTCTTTTAATTTCTGACTAAAGAATTCAAACAGAAAAATTTCAAAAAGTCGACAAGACAGGTGTTAAATTTAATTGTGTTTTCTCAAGTGCTAAAGGAATAAGGCTAGAGAATTTTACCTTGGAAAGTCCTTTCTTGCTTGTCCATGGCCGAATCTGAAGGCAGCAGCGGCAAATTCAGCTGTTAGCGCAGCGTTTACCGATGGGGAATAATCTAAAAGAACTCAAATTAAATAAATTTTCCAAAGCAATTTTTGCCTAAATTAGTACGAATTGGTATGAATAGCAACATCCTAATCTCAAACGACATCCCAAATAAGTGACCTTACCCTTGGAGAAACCAGAACCTGGTTTCATAGTCCTGAGTTTGAAGTTGTCCATAAGTTTGTCGCCAACAATTCCAGGTAGATACTCATTGTACACTTGATGTTGGTATTGAGCAATATTCACACGGCGAGTTTCCTAGAAATTACCGTATTCAATGAAAATTGTTAACTTCCGAATTCTTTTGAATGCTATGCTGGCTTAATAGGCCGTGACCGATTTGGCGCGAATGGCGTTAGTCTATTTATTGGTGCAACAGTTTACTGCTGAAGATTGGTGGCTCAAACCTCGAAGATTTTTTGATCAGTCCAATCCGGATTAGCCTTGAACAATCCAGCAATTCTATTGTGTTCCTTGATATAAGTGGAGTGTAGAGGAATTAATCCAGGGTGTAGCGAATTGCGGAAATCACCAGTAGTGAAGCAAAAATATGGGTCTTTTGATTGACAGTTGGTATCCTAGAAACAAAACAATAATAAAGGAAAACCAACACTTAAACCTAATAGCAAAAACTTGCATTCTTTTTCTGTGGAGGAAGTATATCGCCATTATGAACGTATATTTTTAAT